TGTGTTGGCGGTTAGTTAAAACTTAACTTACCGTAAGCAACTTAAGAACTTGTGGATTTTAGATTCTTAAGTTACGGCCTTACGGAAATTGGGAGCGTTGAGAGAATCAGGTTGCCATATTTTCGTTTTTGTATTTCTCAAAAATAAACGCAAACATATTTTTTTGCATGCAAACGGTCGAACAGCTGAAAAAGAAAATACTAAAACAAAATATTTCCGCTTATGGCTTAAGTTGCCGAGTTGAATAACCAATGATGATTTCTTACGGTAAGTTAATTTAAGTTAAGTCTAGACAAACTAATGCAATTATGGACCGAAACCACTACTTTGGGAGTCAAACAATAGAATAAATTCATGGATATACAATAAAAACGTTGGATTAAGTACACTTTAATATATTACAGATTTTTATTTAGCAGCCTTAGATTTGAAGTAGTGTTAAATTTGTTGAGTATTAATTAAAAGGAAAAATAAATACATAAATATTTCGAACTTTCGAACATAAATTTAAATGCATTTTTCATTATATGTTATTAAAAGTAAAAGCTATCAGGTACAATAAATACTATATCTTTTATCTTTTTTCAATATATTGATTATCATTATGGTTATTAATCATTATTTAACAGGTTTGGTATAATTGAATATGTACTCGCTTTAATGGTTTACAATATACCCAAATAAAAGTTATAATATTTTGTGTACATACTTTATTGTATTAAAATGTCGAAGTAAAATAAAACCGGGCATGAATAAATCGTTTTGTACTTGGTACAAGTCTGTTCATTTTCGTGCTAGTTCGGTTTCAGTCAGAAAATTCTAGTTGTAAACTAGTGCTTTTCCTGACTAGTTTGGGGTTTCACTGCAGGGTTGCAGAGCTTTACCAACAGAAATACTCTTCACTTGTGTACTAGAGGTGTCAAACTATCGATAGTCACACCATCGATAGTTTTGATAGTTTTCAGAAAGACTATCAATATTCACGATAGTCTCGAAAAAACAAAACTATCGATAGCGCTAAATCAGTTAGGTTGCTTTGTTTTTACAGGATCATAGTGAAATAAATATTATCTTATAAAAGTTATAATAATTCAAAATTAAGTAACTGCTTAGCCAAAATACTTCTCTTTTTAGAAAGTTCAACAACAAACACAAGTTATACAAACACAACAGGATTTACGATTAACATATGTATGTATAATTTCAAAAAAATTGGGAGAGATGATCGATAGTCCTACTAAACTATCGATATTTTTGGTAGTATAAGAAAAAACTATCAATGAGTATTGATAGTCTAAAAAAATTGAAACTATCGATACTATCGATAGTGCCATCGATAGCTTGACAACTCTATTGTGTACATGAGTAAATAGAACATATATTTTAGAGTACTTAAAACGATAGGGCAAAAAAAGGACATCATAAATGTGTGGAACTGAGCAATGTTACTCAACAGCGCTCTGCTACATAAAACACTGTTCCGCTCTTCCAGGGCAGAGAATGTTAATGTAACATTAACATTCTCTGGTTTAACAGCATGGTACTGCTGATTTCTGTTCCTCCTTTTACGGAATATAATTTGTTTGAGTACTTTTTTTTATGTATACAGCTCTCAATATCTTCACTTCTCTTCCTTCCATACCCTTTTTGGTAGAGTATGAGTAATTTACATATTTGAAGAAAACTTCACAGTGAAGCAGACTGAATTCCGATGCAGACCTTTATTATATAATCATACATATGATAGTCGAGACGGACTCAAGATCTATACATAGAAGGTCGCGCAATGCGCGAAATAAAAATTGCCTCTCCTGCGCATATGGTCCCAGGGCGAGAAGGCGGTTCCTTTTTCAAACTTCTAACTGTCAACAGTGACGTGGGTGCCAAGACCCTTATGTGATGACAGGAGATACTTCGCTTTGGTTATCTATCTGATCCCGAGAAGGAAAAACAAACGTAGCCCTTGCTTGTACTGATAATGTCGATGTCGTCGGAATACGCCAGCAATTGTACGCCCCTTCAAAATATTGTGCCTGACCGGTTCAGTTCTGCGGCTCTTATTATCTCCTCTAACATCAGATTAAAGAAATCAAACGAAAAGGCTTATCTGAGACCAAGTTTGGTGTCAACGTCACTTTACACAGCCTTATTAGTTTCTTGGGGACACATAATTCAGACATTGCGGCATAAATACAACTTCCATTTGTGCGGTCGAAAGCGGCTGTGAAATCGACAAATGGATGGTGTGTATCGATCCTTTTCTCGCGGGTTTTCGAAGATTTGGCGTATTGTGAATACCCGTTAAATGGGAGACTTTGCCTTTTTCACACAATTTAATAGATAAGACCTTGTAAGCTATGCCTTGAACCCTAGTCCCGCGATAGTTAGCGCGTATGATGGGGTCGCCTTTCATGTGGATGGGACAGAGCACATTTAAATTCCAGTCGTCGGGCATGCGTTCATCTGACTATATTCTGCAAGATAGTTGATGGATACATCTTATTAGCTCCTCGCTGTCGTACTTGAATAGCTCAACTGGCAGGCCGTCATCTCCAGCAGATTTGTTGCTTTTCAGCCGCGTAATCGCTATTCGTACCTCGTCATAGTCAGGCGGTGGGACATTGACTCCATCGACATCCGCTGGTGGCTCGGGTTCGCCTTATTCACTACTTTCAATGCTGCTGGCATTCAGTAGGGTGAAAAACTGTTCCCTCCATAATTTAAATACATTCTGGATATCGGCCACTAGGTGGCCATGGTTGTTCTAACAGGAGTTGAAATCTTTCGTAAGTGGCCTAACTCTCAGATAAAATGTTCGCAAGTTTTTCCTGTTTGCCAGCATCTCAAACTCTTCGCACTCACTTGTAGGAGTTAGCTCCAGTTAATTCAAATATTTTTTTCTTCGTGGTTATATTATTTAGATAGAAAACTACTGTATACCTTTTTTGCATTAATTTCATTGAATCAGTACGATCCACAAGTAGTTAGATCTCCGAATCTGATTTTTGCGTTTTGCCTCTTTTGAAGAGGGTGTGCGTTATTGTGTTTTTTAATATAGTATAAATATATATAGTTATATTAAATTTTTCAATTCCTTTATTAAATTCTTTACTCAATTCACATTTTCTAGACAACCAATCGCTCAATCTCTTCCACACATACAAGAAAAATTAATTAAACTCTTGCACACAAAGTAATAATAAAATAAGCACACACACAAAAAATCATACAAACAATCATCACAATTTATAATAACGGCGTTCTTATCCTTTCCAGTTGTCGCGAAGTTAAGTCTGCTCCCCGCATTTAAGTCGCAATTTAAAATATATAACAGGTCACAATTCTATGCCTCGTCCAAGACGGGTTTAGCTGGAGGCGCCAGGGTTCTTCGTGGAATCAGAAGTGCCATACAAGCGCAGATATACAAAGCGATACAAGCGGCATAAAAAGTCAGCTCGCAGTTATTGGCAAGCAGTGCGCCCACTATATTAGCGCCTACAACACTTCCTAAGCGGCCAAACATCAGCGAAACGCATATAGCCATGGCACTAAAGGGACGAATAAATGAAACTTGATTTGAGACATATATTCACTGGATTATTTAGAGAATTTTCTTACCGCATTTGGGTTGGATAAAGCTCAACAGTAGCCGCTCCTAGAACATTTATCGCTACCCCCACTAAAAAGAAAAGGACATACAAGTACGCGGCAATCGAGGGGTCGGCCACAAATACAGCAGCGAGGCCGCATGAGGAAAATAATATTGTGGAAATGACTGCAAATAAAAATAAAAACGATTGAGTTGTCTCAGGGTTAAAGTACACCAGAGTATCACGAACTTGAAATACTTACAAAGAATGGTCATTTTGCCAACACGATTGATGACCAAGCCAATGAAAGCAAAGGAGGAAGCGTACAATATTTCCATAATTAATGAGTAAAAGTATGTTGTATTTTCCAATTTAGCTACGCATTCCATTGTCTGCAAAGAATTTTTGAGATATTCGGAATTAGAATTTGTATTAAAATTGTTTTATTCTCCACCGTGCCTACTTACACCATCAGTCTTATATAAGCTCTCATGTTTGTCATATACAATATGGCAGATCTGTTTATGTTCGCCTGGGTGAGCATTCATGAACTCGACCATGCTGTTGATTATGTGAGGGAACCACATATACATGCCATTCGTCACCACATACAACCAGAATTGCATGTTGCAAACGATCAATGTGACGCGAATGTATTGTTTGTGAAACAGAGGCACTGTTTGATTCCACATGCTCTTCATGAAGGCGGTGGCAAAGTTTTCTTTAGAAGCCGATTTGTTATTCAACTGCATCATAGAGCCAGGCTGTTCTTCTTCGGGAAGAATGTGCTTTAGCTAAGATGTATAAAAATAAAATATTTAGCCCAAATCATTTAAGTAGATAATGCTAAAGTCAGACATACCTTCATATCTTGAGTACCACCGTTCCAGCGTTGCATCTTCTGCAGCACCTCAATCGCTTTTGCTTCTCTGCCATGGGCCAGCAAGAATTTTGGGCTCTCGGGCAAAGCAAACATCGACAAGCCGCAAAGTAGACCTGGTATGCCACAGACGATCAAAAATAAACGCCATGGCTTGTAAACGATGCCCAAAAATGGCAAAGGCAGCACCCAATCTTGGTTTATAACAATAAAGGCAATCATTGGCAAAATCATGGCACCGATGGCGAAGATAAATGAGGAACCCATCATAGCGCGCGAACGGGTCTTATCCGTGTGGAATTCGCCTAGGTAGGCATAAACTGTTGCCGAACCGCCAGACACGCTTAAAAAATTAAATAAAAATTATTTCACTTAATACAATATAGGTTTTGCAAAGAGCATGAGAACAAATATAATATCTTAAAAAAAGAACTTACAAAAATCCATTAATAAATCGCAACAAAACCATAACCCAAAATGTGTGCGAGAAACTGGAGAGTAGGGTTACTATGAATCCAGCCAACAACGTCGGTCTGATCACTTTCCGGCGTCCCTTTGTATCCGCCAAAAAGCCCCACAGATGCGAACTTGTAATGATACCAGCAAAGCTTATAGCGCTCAAGATGCCCTTGTCCTGATTTGTAAGATTTAAGTCACATTGTGCAATTGGTAATATAAAACCCATGGCCGCAGTCTCCAGTAGGACATTCGCTAAAATCATGCCACAGATGAAGATGAGGAAGTAATTGAACTTACCAAAACCTACGAATGGAAAAAAATTATTAGATGTCACTTTGTTGGTATTCACGTAGTTTTTACGTGGTGTAAAATTAACTTACCGGTAAGCGATAAAGCTTCTGAAAATGAAATGGCCCCATGTTTACGATTTACCTTAACTGGTTCTGTATGTATAATTGAAAGTACTGGAATAAGGTGGGAAATTTTTTTGTACATTAATTTTTCATTCTTGCAAAAATTCTGGAAATGGACGATTACACATAGAAAAAAAAACGTACAAATATTCGATGTTACCAATTACAAATATGAGTATGCATGGATGCAGTATGGGATTTTATTTTATTGCGTTGGGGGTGAAGATTTCGAGTGAGTACGCCTATTTAGATTCTATATAAAAATACATATTTTTGTTGCTGAAATTTGTTTATTTTATGGCTGAAATGTATTGCGTAGTATTGTTTAAATATAAAAAAACATATTTGGTGTAGTGAATCATATTTGAGATATTTAAATGGTACAATTTTTTCTTTCAGAATTTAAAACAATACAATTATAAATATTTGAGTGTATAGTAAAGAAATTACTTATGTACATAAAATTTATAATTCCATTGCATCAACGCTGGTTATTTTACGTATTTATCAGGATAAATTTGGAAAATACTAAGTTTGTCGTATTTCGTTAGGGCTTACGATAATTAAACCAACCACTATTAATTTTTTTTATTATTCATTATTATTATTAGCCATTATTATTATTATTATTTATGTTATTAATATTAAGTATTATTGGTTTTATTTTTATTATAACATTTTTTTTTTTTAATAATAATAATAATATTTTATCACTTACATTAAGTGCTTAATTTTTATTTTTTATTTATTTTATTTTTTTCATAGGAGAGGGAAAATGCTTTATGCACTGGCCGGGGGCGCTAGTCTATATACTACCTTCCCCGAGTGTGGGACTCCCACCGAAGCGTGTTGGGCTACCCACTAAAACCCAAACTCTCACCGCCTGCGCCAGAATCCCTCATCTGGCACCGCAATTCGGCATATCTTCAGATGCAGGAGCGCGCTACTAGAGCCGCAAGGCTACTCTTTTGTAGCGGCGTTTCATTCGGGTGTCCTCAGTAGACATCCGTCTTCTCGTTTGCAGTGGAGTACGAATTTCACGTATCTCGCAACTACTTCCCACTTGTCTGCAAAGGAGATCATTACCCTAATTATTTTTGTTCGGGGTTATGTCTCCGTATCTTTCTTCCAACATTCTGCGCGAAGTCAAGAATTGCTCACAAGTGAAGAATGTATGTTGTACGTTATCTTCGACGTTTCGACAGTAGTGACAGAACGGTGAGTATACCCTGCCCATTCTATGAAGATATTCTCGGAAGTAACCATAACCGGTGAGGAATTGCGTCAGTTAGAAATCGACTTCCCCGTGCGGTCTTTTCAACCATGTTTGAAGGTCGGCTATCAGGGTGTGCGTCCATCGACCTTTTGTGCTCGCGTTCCAGTTTTTATTTACTCTTATCATTGTTATTGTTATTATTATTGGGATTCAGATTAAAATCTCCCCCCTTACACAAGTCGTCTAAAGCTCATAAATTTGCCTACACTCACAATTCGTAGAGAAATGCTAGATATAATATTTATCGTAAAATTAATGACAGGCTTGATTAATAGCCCGGCCCTCCTGGCTGAGATAAATTTTAATGTTCCTTCTCGAGTGTCAAGACACTTTCGACCTCTATTTTTAAAGCCATGCAAAACTAATTTTGAACTAAACGAATCATTCCGTGGTTTATGTCAAGATTTTAACTGTCATTCCAGCACGTTTGACGTATCGGACTCGATTTTTACTATAAAGAAAACTATTATTTCCACTCTCAATAATTGAAATACTATCTTTAGCATATCCAATCAGCTGATGAATTTGATTCTGTAGCTGAATAGTTTTAGATCTCGACACTTAACAAACTCCTGTTTCCACTACTCGGCACCAAAAAACTAAAAAAAAAAAAGGTTCCGTACGTTATGCGGACTGCACCCCTCGTGGCGGTTGGACGGGAATGGAGGGTAAAAAGCCGTTGGGATTAATTAATTAATTATTGTTATGGTGATTATTATTTGTGTTATTATGTATTACAATATGAAAAGCTATAAACAAAAAGTAAGCCTTTTCACTAATAATTTCCCCAAACCTGCAGATAATAAAATGTTGTGTACTCTATCATTGTTTCCTAATTGTCTATTTTATATTTGTACATATTAATTATTTATTTTACTTAAGGACTTACATGGGCTTAAAATTTTATAACAATGCCCACTGGGAAAATAGGTAAGCACCTTACGAGGTAAGCCATGTTTTCTTTCAGTTGTTAGTACCAAAATTGTCATCATGGCCGATGTCATCCACTAGTAAAGCGCAAAATGAACACCTCCGACGACACATTACGTTGTCAGTTGCAAAATAAGGTGCAGCCGAAGTTATTTTCAAGCACCGAACTACTCCGAGCGACTGCTCTGCATTACACGTACCTTACTTTGTAAAGGGGCTCAGAAGTATGTCTGATACCAAATGCCACTGAATCACTGACTTTTCTAAAGTGTTTATATCGGCGGGCTATTCTATAATGAATTCTTCTTTTTAAATAACCGTGTCATTTAATTAAAGGTTCCACAGAGGCTTCCAAAATGTTCGAATTAATAAAGCAAATCCTTGAAGTTCGTTCGAGAAAAATATTATTTTTATTTTCTCTACTTTTATGTACACACATTGTCACTGAATCACTGACTTTTCTAAAGTGTTTATAGCGGCGGGCTATTCTATAATGAATTCTTCTTTTTAAATAACCGTGTCATTTAATTAAAGGTTCCACAGAGGCTTCGAAAATTTTCGAATTAATAAAGCAAATCCTTGAAGTTCTTCGAGAAAAATATTATTATTAATATATTATATCGGAGGTCGTCTGCAATAACGGCACAACTCAAAACTTCTGTTTTTTGAGTTACCTAGCGGATTAGGTTTATAAATAACCATTTTTTCTGTGGCAGATCGACATATCCTTATTGTTACCAATCCGACAGGGGCGCAGTTTTGCCATTTGTCACTAAACCGAAGTAGGCAACCCTTACTACTGAACAGCGGCACATATCTACGGTGACCATCCGTCCTTTATTTTAAAGGATAGTCCTTTATTTTAACCCCCTGTCCTTTATAATTTTTTTCAAAATAAAGGACGCCTTTTGTCCTTTATTTCTTAAACTGTCCTTTAAATCAGCTCTGCATTTTTCAGAGGTAAATTTTTAAACACAGAATATGAAAACTAAAAGTTTCCCTTATAAAATATAATGAAAACCTTCGCCAGTTCGTTTCGCACTCCACTTAAGGGTTTTTATTTAAAAGGTAATCTTTTCACAATCTATAGAGCACAGGGAAAGTTGTGCCCAGGATCGTGTTGCACGCTGAATTTCCAGTTCCACTGAAAGAATTCAATAAACGCCCTGCTGCACAGTGGTTCAAAACTGGCATTTAGTGGTCGTAATTCACTGGAACCTCCATTTCTTTCACTTAATTTGATAATTTTTTTTTTATGAAAGCTTATAATATTTGCAAGACCAGTTGAGCCCAATCTGTAAATTTTTACTTGAATATATTAAATTTTTTCTGTGCAAAATGCAGAGAGGTGGAAATTTTGAAGAAAATGTATTCTCCTTTTCCTGTTAATAATTGTTACATAACAAAGACTAGTTAAAAACAAACGTAAAGCTACAAAAAAAAAATGTTTAAAATGTTATAAAAAATTTTCACCGAAATAAATTTTTTTGGGGTTTTAGTAAAAATTGGTTCAAAAATGAAGACTGCGGTGAATTATGAACATTAAATTCCAATTTTGAACCATTGTGTGCCGGCTTCGGCGTGCAGTATGAATTATGGTAAACGCATTTTCGCAGCAATGGATGGAGAAGTCCTTGAAAAGGACTTTGGCTCCATTTTTCGGAATCGGTTAATTAACTGGTAAATATTTTGGAAATCATTTTGAAAGAAAAATATCCTTTATTTTAAGTTGGTTAATATGGTCACCGTACACATATCTCATATTTATCGTGAATTTTTATTGGCATAAGTCAAAAACTGTGGAAAGGTTATTGATGCTTTTATGTGAAATAACGACATTTTTCGTATTGTGGCGTTGTTCAGTAATGCCACTGGAGTTATTTTCGTTTAACTACTTAGAAGTTGTTACTTATTTTCGTAATTTTTTAGTGGAACCTTTACTAAATCTTTAGAAGAAAGTCATAATTTGCAAATAATCTGGAATAATTACGTTCCAAGATATACATATGTATTATTCCTAAGTTACGAAACACCAAATCTTTAACTGGCTCTACTGAAAAATATAAAATTGTGAGTAGTGTCTTTATGGCAGAGGATATTTGATATTTTCTTGGAAATAACAAAAAAAAAAATATTTTCCAATACAAATTAAATAGACATGTTATGTGACTTATGTTAATGCAAAATTTTGGACCTTCGCTTTAAAATTTTTTGTTGCAATTCGAACAAACTTAAAATATATATTGTGCAGGATAATGCAAATTGAGTAAGTAACTCCGCAATCGGGACTGCAAGCTGGAAGATATTCCCAAAATTTCCCTTCCCATTTTAAGAAATATATTTAACTTCTCAAAGTGTCTTCCCCAACACTTCTAACTTTATCGCATAAGTTCTTTTAATGACTATAGCAATACATATAGTGTATGTACATATCGACACCTTTTGCACGACTATCACCAGAGAGCGTTTTTTCTGCTTTTAAATATTTTTCCGAATTTTTTATATACATACTTATGAATTTATTTTCACTACGCAAAAAGTACTTTTGTTTGACACATACGATGATTTCGCCCACAAGCAAAAATGCATTGTAATATACCATAAAATATGCAGTAAATTTTTGGCGTAACTATACGCAATTTGGCGAGAGGATTTTACAAAACGGCGCGTTCTGGGCTGTAGAAGAAATTTGCGTCAAAAAGTTAGTTTCAAAAAATGGCACATCCGATAATTTCGGTTCGTATCATATAAGGCGGAGCATATTGGTGGAACACTTCACGACTTTACGTATACATAAATAGGCTGAGTTCCAAGTTGGTATATTGCAAAGCATCAGCATCTGTTA